GCAACTTTCCACATTGTGCATTTATACTTGCACTTTTCCTTGCTGCGTCTCTGTACTTCCTTTCCTCTGGCCCATATACTCCCTTTAAAATAAAATTCTTTCTTTTATTTGGCTGTTTTTAGTCTGTTTTCTTGTGGATGCAGACCATTCAGAACATGTGTATCGTCCCTTCTCTCTCATCTCCTCTCACACCTATTTCAAGGTTGTAGTTGCAGTTGTATTGATAATTCTGCCAATCTGATACTGGGGAGAAAGCTCAAATAGGAGAGAAATAAGCAGCATAGATAACTTACGATTTTTCTAAGCAGCCTTTCGCATACCTCAATCCTTTAAAGAAAAATATATCAACAGAATCTTCGATGTTTGCTTGTTTGTTTGTTGTTCACACCATTAGGGCAACTTCACTGTCTTTACCATACCACAGTAAGAAGTCACAATGAGATTTTGCTCTCCAGCTTGCTGTACAGTATTAAACCAATATGTATCCAGATATCACCTGGTCAGTCATGAAGTGAGTGGTTGATGATCGGTTATCATAAGTCCTGACTCCATAAATAAATCTGGAGTATTGATTGCCTATTTTAGCATGGATGTCTCTTTTTTAATTGTATTATATTTTTGTATTCTTAGAAAGAGTGTCTTCAAGAGATAGGGAGTCTGTCCCTTTATGGTCTTCAATAAGGTTTGCTCCTAAGCATACATTAGAGGCTTCTATTTGAGGACAAAAGGTTGAGTAAAATCTAATCCTTTTAATACTGGTTTATCATATAGTGCATTTTTTACTTTATCAAATGATTCTGGGCATTCTTTAGTCCACTTAATTTATGTGGGTTCTGCTTTTTAATGTTAAATCTGTGAGGGGTTGAGCCAAAATAGAAAAATGAGGAATGACCTTTAGTAATACCCCACTACTCCTAAGAAAAATTGGACTTCTATCTTTGTTTCAAATGCTTCAACCTTTTGGAATCCTTTGGAGGTTTCAGGGTTTCAACCTTCCCTTCCCAGGCCCCTTTCCCACAGAACCCTAAATATCAGTTTCTATCAGATGATGCTTTTCAGGATTTATGGTTAGATCAGGTTTTTTTAAAAAAAAACAAAAACTGTCAAGTATCAACCTTAGGTGTTGAAGGTGTATTTCCCAGTTTTGCTATAAATGAGAATATCATCTAGATACGTAGCGTACCATATCACTTTATCAGGTAAGATTTATTCATAAGACACTGGAAAGTAGGTAGTGTCCCATGTAGCCTAAAAGGCATTGTCTAGAATTGAGAGAGGCCTTGTGGCGTGGCAAATGTGTCTCCTTTGAATGATGTTCCAGTAGAATTTGGAAATATCCTTTGGGTCAGTCTAAAGATAATAAATTCTGATTCCATCTAGGCCATCCAAGAGGCCATCAACTCGGACCACTGAATATTTCAAATTTTGCCACTCAGTTTATATTCTGGAAATCTACACAAACTCATATTTCTTCATTTGATTTTGTCAGTAAATGATTGGAGAATACTAGTGACTTACAAATAGTTCTATAATGTCCATTTCGAGTGTCATATTTGCTTCACTTTGTTAAATTGCTTGCCTACATTTTTTAGATGTTCTGGAAACCTGTAGGTAGGCTGTTGAATAGATTGCATTTTTCCCTTTCTGTACTATGTTCTATTCAGTGGTGGGATTCAAAATTTTTTACTACCAATTCTGTGGGCGTGGCTTGATGGGCGTGGCAGGGGAAGATACTGTAAAATCTCCAGTCAGAGGCGGTATTTGCCGGTTCTTCAAACTACTCAAAATTTTCACTTCTGATTCTCCAGAACTGGTCAGAACCTGCTGAATACCGCCTCTGGTTCTACTGCATCCATTAATCCTGGTTGCATGTTTAACATATTTTTAAAGTCACTTAATGTCTTTTCCATATCTTTTGATTGATTTGCAGATAAATTGAATGTATGTATTTGTTTGTTTGTTTATTTAGCAAATTTATATGGCTACCCAACTCCAGGTGGCCTACAGAACATAAAACCCAATAACCCTCACCCCTTGCAACAACAATCAGACAAACCACTTGATAAGCTCCCTATCATCCTGGAATGCCCAGGTCACTGCCAAGCCAGTGTCTTCCAAAGAGCATCATGGTGGATGACAATCTTATTTATATAGGGATGATATTCCTTAGGGAGTGAGCCACCATGGAGAAGAGCTTTAAGGAAGTCTTATCTAGGTCCCACTAGATAGACCACCTTAAGAAAGGGGAACGTAACTGTTGAGGTAATTCCCCGTTAGGAGAATGAGCGCAATGAGCGCACACAGGGAGACGTAGTGAGAGTAGGGAAGAATAACACATAACTAGCACACAGATACACTGTATAGTAAAATGTAGGTTTTTACTTCCAGTAAATGGTTAAGCAAAGTCCACACACAGTCCAAGTCATTCACAGTTAAAGCAGTCAGTTTTCAGTCCAGGGTTAATTCCAATATCAGTCCAGTATCAAAAACAGTTCTGTAACAGACTTACATCAGATCCAAGAATAACAGTCAATAGGGGAAAAGGGAGGTACAGCAACACTCTCAGCAACAAGAGAACAAGACTAAACAACCCAGGTTTCTGGCTCCATCTTATGGCCATTTGAGGAACCACACCCAATTACAATTTTAGTATTCCCTTAAAGAGACAGTATTAAAATGTCTATCCTGGTTTATATATTTTCCAACCCAACTGTTAGGTGATTTACATTCCTAACAGTAACATACCCTGCCTTCCCACTCTGGTGAGTTTGGCAGGTGTATCTGAGAAAAGACCTTCAAATAGCCTGACCTCAGACCACGTAGAGCTTTAAAGGTGATTATCAGCATCTTGAATTGGACCTAGAAGCAAATCAGCAACTAGTGCAGCTCAGTGGTGGGATTCAATTTTTTTTACTACCAGTTCTAGTGGGCATGGCAGGGGAAGGATACAAATCTCCAATCAGAGGTATTTGCCGGTTGTCCGAACTACTCAAAATTTCCGCTACCGGTTCTCCAGAACTGGTCAGAACTGCTAAATACCACCTCTGGTACATCTCCTGTACAAAATGTTACCTTTCTTGCACAAACCATGCAAGCCAGTTTTAATATGCACCTTTTCACATGATTGCATCCCAAGCTTGATCCAACAGTTCTGGTTTCCTTTTTTTTAATGCAAATAAAGTTGTCTCAAGTTTAGTTTTATCAAGACATTTTCTTAAGAGATTAACATAATACATTTTCTTTTACCTTTATTCTAGTTCAGATTCATAATTCACTGGCTGAGTTCTTCTTATGTAGAGATCCTGCTACTTAGTTTGCAATTTGTTCTTTTACTATGTAATAACAACAATAGCTGGTTTCTCACATTGAATTGCTTTGATTTTAAACCTTTATCATACTGCCTCTTTTGTTTTTTCCTGGCTGTTTGTTATTGTTTCTGGGTAACGTGCCTTTAACTGGTTTTTCTGAGTTAATGTATATTCTATTAAGTTCTTAAGACCTTCTAAATTTTCACACCAGCCTTCTTAGTAAGATCAAATAATTTTGAGAAGATGTTCCTGTGATGACACTGCAAGTAAAAATGCACCATTCCTCTTAGCTCTTGAATACGACGAACTTATTTACCTGGTCCTGTTGCTGGATTTTAGCAGTTACCCAATAATTGGTTAACTCTACTCTTGGCTAAAAATATCAGCAATATTTTTAGAGTTTATTTTTACCACACTCTTCACAAGAATAAATCATTTCTCACTCTTTTCCAAGAAAATTGCCTGTAGTACTATGGGAATGTATAGTGTAAAATAATGTATTGTTATATAATTTTGAGTTGGCTAAACATGACATCAATATATCAATATTACTTCCACTAGATTTTGGGAGTGAGAATTTCAGCAACTTTTTAAAAATGCATGTAAGATATTTCCATTGTTGGCACTTTTTTGCCCAAGCCTATTCTATAAAAAAACCTTTACTAGATGGCAGCACTATCTGACCCTGGAATACACAAAAGGTTAACCAGTGATTCTCCTGGTTAATATTTGTACTATGATATTTTTTAAAAAAACACCTTTGATATAGTTTAGACTAGAAAATGATAGGACATCACAGAAGAAGGCAGTAATGACCTTTCCATTTTTAAATTATTTTTAAAACTATAGTATATTAGATTTATATCTTGTCACCACCTGTTTTCCGTCAATGCCAACTCAGTCAGGTGGATTGGACATTGTCAAGAAATCTATGTATGAAGTTGTGAGAGTTACTTTTTACATGTTTCGAAGTATAAAACCAAATAGTAAGTCATACCATGGAACAAATGGAAACCAGATTACTTAAAAGACATTAATTTGGAGCAAGCCTAGGAAAGATATAAAAAAATTGAACAGTGATTAAAATGTATATAGAATTCTCATTTGATACTTAGCAGTTGCTGGCATTCTTTCATAATGACTTCATAGTTTTACTGCAATAAATCTGCTTTTTTTGAGCTGTCGTGACCTACAAAATATATTCTTGCAGTGTTTTGTTTTGCAGCTGAGAGGTTCCTGACAGAAGTCAACAGGAGACTAGATTAGCCTATAGAACATTTACCTTTTCTTATCATATAAGAAATTTATTTTCTTATTCTTGAACTCATCGGGCTTTCATAATACAGGGAATATTTATCTGATTGGTAATACAAACTACACACTGTTTGCTGGATATATAAGGTTTTACATGTTGTTTAGAAAATGTTTCCAATGAATTTGATTTAACAATCCTCTCAGAAAATCATGTTGGAAGCATTAACAGCATCAATCAACAATTCTAATAACTTTTTCCACGCAATACTTGATACTTGTAGTGAAAATATTTAATATCATGTTTAAAACTATTCCTACCTAAGAAGGATTAAGTAAATATAGAGGGAAATATAATAGATAACACATTAAGAAAATAATATAAAGCATTTTACAAATTAGTTTATGTAGGTTTTAAATGTATGTATTTTTTTCCTGCAGGCATTTCCTATTCAAAACAGGAACAGGGACAACACCACTGTTCAGTACTGCAACACCGGGATACACAATGGCATCTGGCTCAGTTTATTCCCCTCCTACACGACCGCTACCTAGGAACACCTTATCAAGAAGTGCTTTTAAATTTAAGAAGTCTTCAAAGTACTGTAGTTGGAAATGTACAGCACTCTGTGCTGTTGGGGTGTCTGTGCTTCTGGCAATACTACTATCTTATTTTATAGGTAAGCTTTCCTTTTTATGATCATTATAAATCTGTATTCCAATACTGCTGGAAGTAAAGATCTAGATATAGATCTGGATCTAAAAATACAGAGTCAGCATCACACTTATAGTTTAAATATAACTTACTAGCAATTGCTGGAAACCTTGTGAGTATTTTCATTAAAAAATTACATGGAATAGGAAATATCTGTATTTTATAAATATTTTCCTGCAAAAATATCATGTGAAATGTCATTTTTAAAAATTGAATTATAATTTAGGAATGTTTTTCTTTTATGAGGGTTGACTATAATTCAGGCAACGTTTGTATACACTGCTCAAAAAAATAAAGGGAACACAAAAAAGAGACATCCTAGATCTGAATGAATGAAATATTCTCATTAAATACTTTGTTCATTACATAGTTGAATGATGTCCCAGATGTGCTCAATTGGATTCAGGTCTGGGGAACAGGCAGGCCAGTCCATAGCATCAATGCCTTCATCTTGCAGGAACTGTTGACACACTCCAGACACATAAGGTCCAGCATTGTCGTGCATTAGGAGAAACCCAGGGCCAACCGCACCAGCATATGATCTCACAAGGGGTCTCAGGATCTCATCTCGGTACCTAATGGCAGTCAGGCTACCTCTGGTGAGCACATGGAGGGCTGTGCGCCCCCCTAAAGAAATGCCACCCCACACCATTACTGACCCACTGCCAAACCAGTCATGCTGGAGGATGTTGCAGGCAGCAGAACGTTCTCCACAGCATCTCCAGACCCTGTCACGTCTGTCACATGTGTTCAGTGTGAACCTGCTTTCATCTGTGAAGAGCACAGCACGCCAGTGGTGAATTTGCCAATCTTGGTGTTCTCGGGCAAATGCCAAACGTCCTGCACGGTGTTGGGCTGTAAGCACAACCCCCACCTGTGGATGTCGGGCCCTCATACCACCCTCATGGAGTCTGCTTCTGACAGTTTGAGCAGCCACATGCACATTTGTGGCCCGCTGGAGGTCATTTTGCAGGACTCTGGCAGTGCTCCTCCTGCTCCTCCTCCTCCTTGCACAAAGGCGGGGGTAGCGGTCCTGATGCTGGGTTGTTGCCCTCCTACGGCCTCCTCCATGTCTCCTGATGTACTGGCCTGTCTCCTGGAAGCGCCTCCATGCTCTGGACACTACGCTGACAGACACAGCAAACCTTCTTGCCACAGCTCGCATTGATGTGCCATCCTGGATGAGCTGCACTACCTGAGCCACTTGTGTGGGTTGTAGACTCCGTCTCATGCTACCACTAGAGTGAAAGCACCGCCAGCATTCAAAAGTGACCAAACCATCAGCCAGAAAGCATAGGAACTGAGAAGTGGTCTGTGGTCACCACCTACAGAACCACTCCTTTATTGGGGATGTCTTGCTAACTGCCTATGCTTTCCACCTGTTGTCTATTCCATTTGCACAACAGCATGTGAAATTGATTGTCAATCAGTGTTGCTACCTAAGTGGACAGTTTGATTTCACAGAAGTGTGATTGACTAGGAGTTACATTGTGTTGTTTAAGTGTTCCCTTTATTTTTTTGAGCAGTGTACTAAAAGTGTAGCATATTGGTTATACACAAAATAATTTTCTTCTAGCAAAAAGCCTTTACTGTCTTTACTTTTTAAAATGTCACTTACACATAAATAATGAAAAGCATTGCTTAACTTTTGTTTCTTTTTTCCATGCTTTAAAGAATAACATTTTACTGAATCAGTTCCTCGTGATTGCTTATGTTGTACAGTTGAGTATGTACTATATTAGTTGATTGTAGAATGCAATGATCCAACTCAGTATCAATTAGTGCATTATACCATAATATAATACCAGAGACTGTGATTATTACATAAGCAATATAAGAGTGGAATGTCAGGTTTTATTGGTGTAACTGAAATGTCCCTGAACCCCAAATAAAATATTCTGTTAGAATAATGATGAAATGATAAAACAACATAAAAATAGTTCTTCAGCAGTCAAAGAAATTTTCTTTCCTTGCTGTTTGAATATGATTGCCTGAGATTATTGCCAGTCTCCATATTACCAAAGAGAATCAAAAGAGTTGCACAGCAGTGATTCTGATGCATGGTGATTTGATGTAGTAAATGGCAATACTGATAAGAAGTTTATTAGACTCAAAGACCTTCTGGTTCAAAGGCAAAGACTTCAATTACTGTATGCACAAAAAAGGTGTAATTAGTAGAATTGGTTTATTTTTATGTTTTTAATCATTGGGATTGGATTCTTCTTTATTGATCAAGTGTGATTGGACACACAAGGAATTTGTCTCTAGTGCATAAGCTGTCAGTGAACATACAAACAGCAAAGTGGTAAGGCATAGATCACAAATCATGATACAATTATGTTTTTAGTTCGATATATAGTCCAACCTTATTCCATACTCTTGACCTTGCAGAGCTTCAGGGTAACGTAATTATATACATAAAATATGTCAAGAGTACATACATTTGGGCACATTTAAATGCCACTAATGTCAGACATTGAATATCTATGCAGTTAAAATGTCCTTATTTATACTTAAAAACTGATGTGTGATTGATTAAAACTGATCTAAATTTTAATCACATTATTGTGCTAAGTAAATTATTGTTTTAAATAATTAATGTAATTAAGTTAAGGTATATTGTAAATTAAAAGTTTCCTATTAATTTGGAGGCATTTAAATACATTCAATTATTGTATTGTACATATTTAATGCTACTTTTTCTCAACCTCAGTTTCAAAACAAATACGACTAACCACGAGTTTGTCTTATATTTTGATACTACACTAAGTTTTCTAAGCAGTGGTTAAAAGGGATGGAAAAAAGGGTTATGCAGTCTCTATAGTTCCTAATACTTTTTTTTTCATACTTGGCATTTTGTCAAGCATACATTTTGCTGTTAGCATACATTAAATCTGTAATTCTTATTCAGCAAAGATAATTTCCTTTTCTTTGAAAGAAAAACAGTATCAAGCTGCATATTTTTAAAAGGAAAGGAACTTATTAAGTCTTTGTTCTTGCCTTCTAATTATTGATAGTATCTAGAACTCCTAGCCTTCATTTGAACAGACCTTAATGTTTCTAACTTCCTATATTTTGGAAGGATGGGTTATAGCTGAAATAGTCATCTTAAATCTGTGGAATGCTAGTTGACATTCATGGATGTACTCTGTTACTTTTCTGTGTGTTTGTCCTACATAATATCTATAACAGCCTTATGTTATATGTTATTGGTATGGTATGTTGCAGTTAACTCCTGTTCCCTCCCCCGTGCTTTCTGGGGTTACAGGATCTTTTGGTTTACTTAAGATGTTTTTGAGGGCTTTAGTTGGTTTGTGTGCTACAGTGATGACTTCGATTGTCATCTATTGGTGGTTTCTGATAAGTTTTTTTTTAATGTAAAAATCTGTTTGTTGTTTCTGATATGTATCATACTAGCAGTTAGAAGACATGATGAAAACTCCTTAATCTCACAGAACATGGGCAGACTGGATCATAGTTTCAACTAGGAAACGACAAATCCAAGAGCAAGCTAAATCCAAAATGCTAGGGAATTCCTGGAAGGTTGGCATTCAGACAAATCAGCCATCAGTGGACATTTGGAGGTAAAGCACATTCTCCATGGGGTCAACAGGAGAATCCAGGTTGGGTAGTCTCTAGCCTCGTTGCTCTACAGACTGAGTTGAATTCTGAGGACATGCCTCCCTGGTAAAGGTCCCCAGTTCTTCAGCTCAGTCTTAGCTCGTTCAGACAGCCCTAAAAGGGCTCTGAATTATTTGAGTTTTAGAAATATTATACTACTCCCTGGATTTCCTAGTGTGTTAGAATTTTGGAAACGTTTGACAGCTGTCCAACTTTGTCAGCTCAGCTGCCTTTTGTTTTTCACAGCCGCCTTTTGTTTTAAACACCTTTTTATTTTCGCAGCCTTTATTTTTCTTTTTAATTTTTCCTTTTTCAATTTATTGACTGTTTTTTATTGATTTTTGTGGATTGTGGACCTAGAGTGCCCCGAGGTAGCCCTTGTTACCTGGGCTGGGGCCGGAATCATTGACCGATCCTTCGGTCTGACTCTTGAGGGATTTTTGACAGCCGCAGCAACTGCAAATCACTTAGGAGTGCCATTTTGACAGCGGTTAACTATGGTCCTTTTAGCAAGTCCTGCTCTTGATCCAGGCTTGCTTTTTGGGGGAGTTTGATCTGGATTTCATATCCAGATCAGCTTCATAACTCCCCACAGCACCACGGCAGCTGTAAGTAGCTTAAGTCTGCCAATTAACTTGCGGTGCAGCCAATGCTAAGCTCGCAAGTTCCTGATCCGTCAGGCCTTGCTGCAGTTTAAAAGTTATGTTTTTTTCTTGGGATTTTGAACTACCTCAATTTGAGGAGTGGCACTGAGCTAATTGTCAGCTTCTTTGGCTACTTTTGCTGCCTGAAGCTGTTGACAGCTTCTCCAGCCATCGCAGCTAGCCTGAGGCTTCTTTTTTATTCAGAGAGCATTTTTGGTTTCTCTGACAGTTTATTTTGGTGCAAACAAAATGGCTGCAATTGAATCTGATCAGGAGGTGACAGCACCTCAGCAGCCTAGATACAGAGCTGTCAAAGGCTCAGCCAAGCCCAGGTCAGCTGCCTGGAGGCTGCAGCCAGGATTAGGGCCAGGGCTCTGGCTCCTAGAAAGCCTTCCAGGGCAGAGGAGAAGCCGGCCACACAAAGGCAGAGTGCCTTAGATAAGGAATTTGACAAGGCTCTGAAGGGCTCCAAGATGGCTGACAGCAGCTCCATTTCACACCAATTTTCTCAGGAGGCCCTACAACAGGAGCATCTGCTGATAATAGGCAGCGTCTAAGAGCCTGGTCACCAGGTGACTCTAATGAGCAATTTCTGCAAGAAAATTTCAACACGCATCTGATCTACAGAAGATTCAAGATGTACTCCCTTCATTCAATCCTCGAGGGAATTCGGGAGAGAGATTTTTTGACTTCTGTGGAT